ATCTTATGTTGGAGGCAGCGGAGAAGTTTGAGAAGGCATTCAAGACACTTGCTTTGGAAAATCCTGAGTTTGTATCTGATCTTACCAAAGCCAAGAAGTACAAGGGTCAAGTGATTGGTCCACCATCTACTGCTGATTGGAAAAGTGCAAGAAATTTGTGTAGTCACCTAGTATACTTCTATGAGCTCACCTTGCTGGTTTCCGGGACCAAGTACGTGACTTCTCACCTCTTTTTAAGGCAACTATGCTATATTTTTTACCAACTTGGGAAAATGGAGATGAGTGAAGAGGAAGAGGTTAGGAATATGGCTCTTAGGATGCAAGCTAAAGTGTGCAAATATTGGCATGAAAGTGAGGAAGGGAATTCGAGAATGAACAGGTTGTTTTACTTGGCTGTAGTGTTTGACCCTAGGCATAAAATGCATTATTCTGTGTGTGCATTGAGAAAATTGTATGGGGAAACAAGGGGAGATGAATTAGCAGATAGGTTAAATGGAGAACTTAGTGCTTTGTTTAAGTGTTATGAAAGCATGGGGCGTCATTCGACTTCTAGAGAAGGGTCTCATTCTGAAGGTTCTTCAATGGCAAGGGAGGTTGAGCCACAAACTCCCATTGTTGCAGCCACTGCCTTTGATGATGATTATTCAATGGCCGAAGCTTGTGTTGAGGCAACTGAGTTGGAAAGGTACTTGGTTGAGCTTCGTGAAGGAGATGCGAAGAATCCAAAATATGATGTCCTATTGTGGTGGAAGAACAATGTCGGGAGGTATCCGATATTAGCGGAGATTGCCAAAGATATACTTGTTGTCCTTATATCAAGTGTAGCTTCAGAAAGTGCTTTCAGTACTGGATCTCGTGTGTTAGATTCCTTTCGAAGTTCTTTGACACCCAAAATTGTAGAGGCTCTAATATGCAGCGAAGATTGGCTGGCAAACTCATCATTACCACTTGAAGATGAGGATTTAGATGAGCTGGAAGAATTGGAAAAGGGTAACTTCCTTTACTCATCAGTACCTTGCTGGTTTATTTGCTCAATGATTTACTAGTTTGTATTAGTTAATTTCATTTCCATAATCAAATACTCCTTGCTGGTTTATCCATAATTACATGCTTTCATTTGTTCTTCAATGGTTGGAAACAGATTTTCAAAGTGTTGTACAAGCTATGAATGATGCTTCACTTGGACAAGAAGGGGAAGGAGCTAGATCTAATGCATGTCCTTCATCATTGGGTGAATCTGCTGAATGTTCGAGTGATGAGAGCGAGGAGGAGATTGATGGGCAATAGCAAAAAGATGGTGACGGCGAGTGAGATGGATGGAAGAACTATGAAGACATGTTGAACTTTTATGTTTGTTATCTTCTAAGTACAATCTAGTATCTACTAAGTGTTATGTTATGTTATGTGTGTTTCAGACTTTGCTTTGCAAGTTATTTTGGAGTTCCCTTAGTTGAGCTATAAGCTAAGGTGATGAACATGAACGAATGAATGATGTTGAATATTGGAACTTGGAAGGGTCAGGCTTCCACACTTCCGAAGTGGATTATGTCATTTTGATTTGTGACTTTGTGAGGATGAACGAATGAATGGAATTAGGTTTTATATGTGTGGGTATGCTATTCTTTTTGCAAGTGTCTACTTGATTTTCCAGCTTGTATTTGTCCACTTTTTATGTTTACAGCAGCTGCTAAGTTCGGTTTTTGCAGGTTAAGTACAGTTTTGGCATGAACGGGTCCAGGTGTGTTGTTCGGCTTTAATCGGGCAACCGCAGAAGAACCGAGACCCGCTTTATTCGGTTTCGGGCACCCGAGTACCGAAATGATGTTGGGAACAGTTGCTATATATGAAGTTTTTCAGGTTCGGGTACCCGCCAGATTCGGTTCGGTTGCCTGAAAGCCAGCCCTAAGTTATGGGGGGGGGGGGGTCAAATAGAGAGCTAGCATTGTTTGTTTGGAATAAGTAATTAACTACGCCACATATTTTTGGATGAGGCAAGTAATGTACGGAATATTGGATGAGTTCAAAGACCTTTGGGGAAGGACGAACATACATTTACTAAATTACTTGGACCTTGAGTGGATGCCTCATAAGAGAAAGTAAGTAATGTACTACACGAAGTAGGTGTTCCATCTTGATAATAGGAGCACAAGCAGGATTGAGCCATCACACTTTTTATTTAAGACATTTCTTGCATCTAGTAGAGGGGTGGTGGACACTTGTTTTGCAAAATATTACAACTACATTGAAACTCAGTTTGTGAAAGTCGTGAATGAACAAGTCTCTCATCTATGTGAGTTTTTAACTTTTGTTTAGCATAATACTTACAAATCTTAATGCATAAGAATTGTTCACTTCTTAGTTCATATTTATTTTCTTTATCAGTTTTCATATCTCTAAGAAGACAACGAATCTCATTTGTGAGTTTTGTTTTTTGTTTAGCATGATATTTAGTATTTACAAAAATACAAATCGTAATAACATAAGAATTGAAGACACAGACTTCCAACCTAGTGTATTATAAAACTAAAAAGAAGTATTTACATAAGCAATGAAAAAAGAGGGGGTGAGGGGGAAAAGGGGGTGGACAAGTACACCAGAGTTGTGAGCTCTACACAAAGAACAAGAATAACAGAGACAAAAAAAAAGGAGAATTAGTGATATTTTATTGGAATGAATTTTCAAGATGTTACATTTCTAACTCTTTTTCTTAGGATTCTTAAATATAAAAATTAGAATATATTCTTTATTGATTAAAAGATTTTCAGATAATAAAAATGAAAACTTGGATATGTGTAGATAGAGGAACAAACTTGACAGTCATGAACAATGACATCACTAGTTGTGAAATAAGAAGATTGTGTTAGATTCTTGTCGACAAAAGTAACACAATTTAAATCTTCTCTACTTCAAGAAAGTCTTCTAGTCCTTTTTTATCATTGTCATCCATTCCTATGATGATTGCAGATAGAGGAGGTAGCTTCGGTCTCTTTTTTTCATAGACTAAACACTCTGAGCAAATGCATTAAGGAATATACTCGTACTTATTAAATCGCATGCAATAATAAAGAGAAACAGTTAGTTAAACAAAATGAATCATCCACATCCATGGAAAAAAAACTTTGATATGTGTAGATAGAGGAACAAACTTGACAGTCAAGAACAATGACATCACTAGTTATGAAATAAGAAGATTGTGATAGATTCTTGTCGACAAAAATAACACAATTTCAAATCTTCTCTACTTCAAGAAAGTCTTGTAGTCCTTTTTTTTTATCATTGTCATCCATTCCTATGATGATTGTAGATAGAGGAGGTAGCTTCGGTCTTTCTTTTCATAGACTAATCACTCCGAGTAAATGCATTGAAGAATATACTCGTACTTATTGAACCACCTGCAACAATAAAGAGAAACAGTTAAACAAATGAATCATCCACATCCATGGAAAATTTATATAAACCATGATAAGGAACGTACAATTGAGGTTTGAGATAAATAAATCATTTTCTGCTACTCCAAGTACATGTCTTGTGTATTCACGAAGAATCTTTTTTCCTAACATGATCTCTGCCAACTACATTAATGCCTACCAAAACCTAGAGACAACGCTTGGGTTGTTGCCAACTACATTAATGCCCAGCCACGACAGTATTTAAGATCACCAAGTTAGCTATAAAAGTTGTATCTATAGCTTCTTGATATGTAGCACTCACAATTTAAGTATGAAATTAAACTCCCTTATATACAAGTAATTGACATTCACCAAACAAATAACCACTCACGACCTAGGTATAGAATTGAAACCTCTTATATAAATAATTAAAATTACGTTTATCTAACAAACAATTACTCACAAACCCAGGTACATAATTGAAGTTGTTGGTATATAAAAGATTGGTTGCCCATTTACAATTTATTAAGCAGTTCGATTGTAAATAACCACAACTTGAGGGGGGAATACTCCATTAAGATAGATCCCATTTGATCATCTCCATCTTTTCCCTCGCTGTGAAGAAAGAAAGGAAAAAATAATATATAAAAAGTAATGGTTATCAAATATCCTACCAAACTAATCTTAAGCTACCAAAAATAATGCACCCAATAATACAAAAGGTTCATCCAATCATCCACTTTTTCTTCTATGTTACTTTTGGAAGAAAAGAAAGAAAATGTTGGAGAACTAGAAGAAATAGGCAGACATTTATGTTATCTACTAACTACGGTAAATAAATCTTTAAGACTTGTCTTTAGGTTGGCTCATTAGAATAACGAGTTATACGTTTACCAACTTACTAGACTCGGTCTTTAGTTTTTGGCACATTGGTTTTTCTTACTAAACGTGTTATAAAACACAATTGACGTCTATTAGACAGACTTTATCATATCAACGCCCTCATTTCTCATCTTCTAAAACCGTCCTTAGAATAACGAGTTATACGTTTCCAACTTACTAGATTCGGTCTTTTCAAAGTAGCCTCTTCAAGAAGAACTTAGGTGTCCTTGATGCGCGGCAGCTGTGTGTAGCATGTGCGGTGTCTGCTGGAATCTGCACTTGCAGTTTACTCGCTGCACTTGCAGTTTACTCGCTGCACTCCTTTTGTGCCGCTTGGTTTTTTAGTTTAGGATTACTTGAATCTGCAGTAGCACTCTTCATGATGTTCGTTGGTGGCTTTCATACTTTTGGTTTAATATTACTGTGGTTAGTAAAGTTAAAACATATGTTTTTTTTGGTTTGTGATGTTCTTCAATCGATTGCACTGCAGCTATTAATTGTACTCCAACACACAGACACGGAATGTCATAAAACCATTGCGATACAAGTGTAGAATAGACTATGCCTAAACGAAATAGGGGATGATTGCATGCTTAGAATTCATCTGAGAGAAAGGAAGCATACATGTGAATTGTAATGATGAATCGACAATGGCTAGCTCGTGCGAAACGAACTAACACTTGGATCTCCCTTAATGAACATGTAGCTGGCCTGGAAATCACATTCTACAAACCAGTATTCTCTGTATTCAAGTCCTAATAACAACAATTCCACAGTTGTAATACGTTCGTAGTGACCATACTGGTATCAAGTATCAACAACAGATATGCATTCCTGTCATGGAATCCAACATAGTAGTCCACTTATAAGAACAAGAGGAAAAGAAAGTCACACATTCATCACCAAACGCGATCTACAATTCCTTTTGTTGATGTAGAATGCAAAATCAGGTATGGAAGCTCTGTACAAAACATACCATTGATTGTCAGTTCTAAGGCGTAGAACTCCTTGATACCTTCTTCAAAACAACCGAGATTCTCTTGATCATGGTTTCTTCGAGGAATTCATCTTTGACTCTCTTGTATGCTCTCCTCCCCATCTTGAATCTTCTCCCGAAACTGGTGCCAAGACTGAGTATATGGTCAGAGAGATCAGCTACACCATTTCTTCCCTCGGTATGCAACAATCCAGTCTCTCCATCTATCACGGTCTCGCTCATCCCGCCAAATCGAGTTCCCTATAAATATTTGGAAACCAATCAAAAAATTATAGCCTAACAAAATTCCTAAGATTGCACAGCAAACATTTGTCAACTGAATGAGCATAAAGCATGTGTAACACAAAATTAGAAGCATGACAATTTGAGTGAAACAATCTAACCAGAATTGGCAGTTGCAACACCATGGCTTCAATAATTGCCCTCCCAAAGTACTCAATAGGGGTCTGAAAATGAATGAAAAAGAGCTTAAAACCACATTGTAGGAGCAACAACTTTTTGTTAGATAATGATGATATATATTAAGATTAAGAAAACAAGTTAATAGTTCAGACAGACTAAGGAAAAAAGGCCCGCTGCAGCAAAAACAAAAGCAGAGACAAATACAAGAAAATACATAAGAAAGCATTAAAGGGGATGACTAGAGCTGCATTTGGAATCTAATCACGACGACAAGGATCATCTACAAAGGAGTTGCAGATCGATGGTGGTGGTTTGGACTTGAGTGCTGCTGCTACATGCATTTCAACATGCTATCTTTCTCTTCTACCAAAAAACATTTCTATCATTCTAACTCTTTTTCTCCTGTTTCCAACTACCAAATCAGTATAGGTTTTCTATTAATTAAAAGACTTTTAGATAATGAAAACAGAAACTTGGATATGTGTAGTTAGAGAAGCAAACCTGACAGTTAAGAACAAAGATGTCAATGGCTGTGAAATAAGCATATTGTGTCAGATTCTTGTCAACGAAAGTGACAGAATTCTGAATCTTCTCTTCTTCAAGAAAATCTTCTAATCCTTTCTTATCATTTTCGTCAATTCCTATGATCATTGCGTGTAGAGAAGGTAACTTCAGTCTCTTTTGTTTCATAGACTGATCACTCTCAGCATATGCATCAAGGAAAAGAATGGTACTTCGTGAACCGCCTACAATAATAAACAGATCAGCAATTAGTTAAACAAAAAATATGACTCACATCAATGAAGAAAATCATATAAATAGTGTTGAGAAGCATACAATAGAGATTTGTGACTAATACATCATCTTCTCCTATTCCAAGAGCTTGTCTTGTGTGTTCATAAGAACCTTCTTTGCTAAAGTGCTCTCTGCCAACTTCATTAATTCCCTACCAACACCAAGAGGGACCACATGGGTTGTTGGCATCTTAATCCTAATAAAAACAAGTTAATCTAGAAGTCAGTTTATAGTGAAAATAGAAAACAATAATCCACGAGAAGAGAATTTCTACAATAATCTAAATATATATGAAAACTTACTAAGGATATCAAACCATCTTGTAACTGCTCCAATTATCGCTATCACTCGTACTTTTTATATTGTAATAATTAGAACCCACTTTTAAATCTGGAAGCAAGTGGCCACAATCACAAAACATTATATTGTAAAAACTTATCTGCAATCATGAGGTTATTTCACTCAAAAGAAACCATGTTTTATATGTTGAAGATCGATATTATAGCTTGAATAGTTAAATTCGGCAATGATCTCAGCTTTTACATATAAATTTTGTGTAAAAGGGGTATGATTGAAGATATTCTCAATGTTAACACTAATCTGAATAGTCTTTGTTTACTGGAAACTAATCACAAAAACTTTTCAAAATAGAAAAATGATGATACTGAAAAGGAGTATCATAACAAAAGCAACAAAAAGTATAGTTATTTATCTTTAATCAACTCAAAATTCAATCTAGAAGATCAACAAAATGAACTGATGTTAAGAGATCACATATTACTGTCAAAGAAACTAAATAACCCATCAGTCAGCTCTCCAAGCAAGAACACTCAACCTTTTCATATTTACCCCTCCAAAAATTGCTTTGCATAATAATATAGGTGGAGGAGGTTAGGCGGTTGTCGAGTCTGATGGGAAGGTTTGGAGAGACGGCTATGGTTGAGCGTTTAGTAGGCCGAGAGCCTAGGACACTGTTTATCTTTAATCAGCTTAAAAGTCAACCTAGAAGATCAACCAAACGAACTGATGTTAAGAGATCACAAATTAGTTTCAAAGGAGCTACATAACCCACCAGTCAGCTCTCCAAGCAAAAACACTCAACCTTTCCATATTTACCCATCCGAAACTTGCTTTGCGTAACAATATAAGTGGAGCAGGTTAGGCAGTTGTCGAGTCCGGTGGGAAGGTTTGGAGAGACGACAATGGTTGAGCGTTTAGCAGGTCAGGACACCATTTAGACCTGTTTACACAAGTTGCCACTTTTCAATCCGCATTCGACAAACCAACATCACTCAACCTTTCCATATTTACCCCTCTTAAAGACACATGTGCCCCATATTCACTCAAAACTTCTATATTCAAAAATATTGTTGCTTTATGGTAGTTATATTATTTAGAATTCTGTATCGCTTCTACACATTTCAATACTACAATTCGATGTGCAATATTTGCACCAATGACATTACGCTTGCAATTTTAAAATTATTCTTCTTTTATAAGATAAATAGAAATAGAATTAATTATTAAACTCGAATTAAAATAATCAAAGTATGAAAATAGAAGTATCAAATACCAAAAAAATATTTAGGGGAGAGTTAGTGGCTTAACTAACTATGATGGAAAATTTCTATGATTTTTCAGATTTAAGCTTCCTGTATATTTTTAATTTAAAAAGCTTAAATAAATTTGTTTAGTGTACCTGGTTATGTTTCTTGTCATTTCTCAAATAGATCACAATTCAAATCCAATCATTTATGTATTTTTCCTGTAAATAAGAAAATAATAAATGACTGTTAAGACGAATCTACCTACTTTTGCTATGGATGCAATGATTTTGTAATGGGGAAAACACATTTCCCAATTCACTATTATATTATGTGTAGCGAAAGTAACCCGGGTGGTTGAGCGTTTAGTGGGTCAGAAACTATTTGGGCCCGTTTACATTAGTAGCACCTTTTCCATCCGCGTTGGACAAACCAACAACACTTAATCTTTGCATATTTACCCATTCGAAAATTGCTCTGGCATAACAATAGTGGTAGAGGAGGTTAGCCGTTTGTTGAGTCTGATGGAAGTTTGGAGAGACGGCGATGGTGAAACGTTTAGTGGATCGGGGCACTATTTGGGCTTGTTTACATTAGTAGTGTATTTTCTATCCGCGTTCGACAAAGCAACATCACTCAACCTTACCATATTTACCCCTCTTAAAAACACATGTGCCCCATATTCACTTAAAAGTTCTGTGTTTAAAAATATCGTTACTTTATGGTAGTTATAATAACAATAAAGTCTATGTTACGAATTTTACATCGCTTCTACAGGTGCAAGAGTGCAATTCGATAATGAGATTTGAACTGTTGTCTCATCAAAAAAAAAAAAAACATAATCAATTACAATAAACACATTTGTGTGATCTTTTTCAATTAAAAACATATAGGAAGCCTAAATTTGAAAAATCTTAGGACTTTTCCACCACAATTAGCAACCGAAATGTCATTGATTCAAATATTGCATATCGAATTGCACTCTTGCACGTGTAGAAGCGATGTAAAATTAGTAACATATACTTTATTGTTATAACTACCATAAAGTAACGATATTTTTACACATAGAACTTTTAAGTGAATATGGGACACATGTGTTTTTAATAGGGGTAAATATGGTAAGGTTGAGTGATGTTGCTTTGTCGAACGCGAATAGAAAAGACACTACTAATGTAAACGGGTCCAAATAGTGCCCCAATCCACTAAACGTTTCACCATCGCCGTCTCTCCAAACTTCCCATCAGACTCAACAAACGGCTAACCTCCTCTACCTCTATTGTTATGCCAGAGCAATTTTTGAATGGGAAAATATGCAAAGATTGAGTGTTGTTGGTTTGTCCAACGCGGATGGAAAAGGTGCTACTAATGTAAACGGACCCAAATAGTTTCTGTCCCACTAAACGCTCAACCACCCGGGTTACTTTCGCTACACCTAATATAATAGTATATTGGGAAATGTGTTTTCCCCATTACAAAATCCTTGCATCCATAGCAAAAGTAGGAAGAGTAGATTCGTCTTGACAGTCATTTATTATTTTCTTATTTACAGGAAAAATACATAAGTGATTGGATTTGAATTGTGATCTATTTGAGAAACGACAAGAAACATAACCAGTTACACTATAAAAATTTATTTAAACTTTTTAAATTAAAAATATACAAGAAGCTTAAATCTGAAAAATCATAGAAAATTTCCATCATAGTTAGTTAAGCCACTAACTCTCCCCTAAATATTTTTTTGGTATTTGATACTTCTATTTTCATACTTTGATTATTTTAATTCGAGTTTAATAATTAATTCTATTTCTATTTATCTTATAAAGGAAGAATAATTTTAAAATTGCAAGCCTAATGTCATTGGTGCAAATATTGCACATCGAATTGTAGTATTGAAATGTGTAGAAGCGATACAGAATTCTAAATAATATAACTACCATAAAGCAACAATATTTTTGAATATAGAAGTTTTGAGTGAATATGAGACACATGTGTCTTTAAGAGGGGTAAATATGGAAGGTTGAGTGATGTTGGTTTGTCGAATGCGGATTGAAAAGTGACAACTTATGTAAACCGGTTTAAATGGTGTCCCGACCTACTAAACGTTCAACCATTGTCGTCTCTCCAAACCTTCCCACCGAACTCTACTACTGCCTAACCTACTCCACTTATATTGTTACGCAAAGCAATTTTTGGATGGGTAAATATAGAAAGGTTGAGTGTTTTTGCTTGGAGAGCTGAATGGTGGGTTATGTAGCTTCTTTGAAACTAATGTGTGATCTCTTAACATCAGTTCATTTAGTTGATCTTCTAGGTTGACTTTTAAGCTGATTAAAGATAAATAGTATCCTAGGCTCTCGGCCTACTAAACGCTCAACCATCGCCGTCTCTCCAAACCTTCCCATCACACTCGACAACCGCCTAACCTCCTCCACTTATATTATTACGCAAATCAATTTTTGGAGGGGTAAATATGAAAAGGTTGAGTGTTCTTGCTTGGAGAGCTGACTGATGGGTTATTTAGTTTCTTTGACAGTAATATGTGATCTCTTAACATCAGTTCATTTTGTTGATCTTCTAGATTGAATTTTGAGTTGATTAAAGATAAATAACTATACTTTTTGTTGCTTTTGTTATGATACTCCATTTCAATATCATCATTTTTCTAATTTGAAAAGTTTTTGTGGTTAGTTTCCAGTAAACAAAGACTATTCAGATTAGTGTTAACATTGAGAATAACTTCAATCATACCACTTTTACACAAAATTTATATGTAAAAGCTGAGATCATTGCCGAATTGAACTATTCAAGCTATGATGTCGATCTTCAACATATAAAACATGGTTTCTTTTGAGTGAAATAACCTCATGATTGCAGATAAGTTTTTACAATATAATGTTTTGTGATTGTGGCCACTTGCTTCTAGATTTGAAAGTGGGGTTCTAATTACTACAATATAAAAAGTATGAGTAATAGCGATAATTGGAGCAGGTACAAGATGGTTTGATATCCTTCTCATTGCAAGGAATAAATACATGGTGAGCATATGTTGTCATGGGAAGGAAAAACCGAACTCTTTGTGTTTGTAGTATAGCATGTTGATATATACGCATGTCTAGACTCGATCGATTGGATATCTCCACCTGGAATTTATTGACTGGATTTTTGCTCATCAAAACTGCGTGTCAAGTAAGCTCCCTCCTTAATCCTTATATTTTTCTTAATATGCACATTCACACCTCATAGGCAACATGTACAGAATTGTAATTTGGGTGTTGTATCCATAAGATTGTATTATATTAGGTGGTTGTTCTAGAATTGTGAATCCTGATTGTATCTCCTCTAAGAAATTGTCAAGTTAAGCTATAAAAGAGGCTAACCTGAGCTTCATCTTTAATTTAGATGGTAAGAGAGCAATGACCCATGTCAAATTGATTGGGGGGTTGACAATGTCTGGAAACGATTTAGCCTTCTTCACAGTATCACAAGATCCTTATAGTATCTCAACCAAAGCAATTTTTGTTTTCACGCCTGATGTTGATATAAGTTGTTTACCTAGAGGAGAGCCCCAACAAGTTAGCTCTCGGAGTTGCGATGCGAAAATGAGTAAGGCATAAATGGTTTATACAAAAGGCCATACTATGATCATATAGAATGCATTGGTAGAGATTGTCATCAATCTCATTTTATTGACGAAACCACCGAGGAGAAGGGATGCCATTGGTACTCTAAATTTTACAAGGCTATTATAATAATCATTCCTTTCGTTTCATGTAAATTATATTTGTATTATGACTGAAGTGATATTACCCCAAACCATAAATTGCAACAAGGAATGGTTGTTTGAATTAATGTGCACTGATGCAAAATGTCATGTAGATGCCATGAAGGAGTAAGAATGGACCAATCAGTGTGTTTGTTGTCAAGAAGGATAAAAATCATGATAATGGGGAGGATTCATGCCGATTGACCTATACAGATTTAAGAGATAGAAAGTACAAAGCTGTAAATCATTTGTGTGTTTAGTGTAGCAGAGTGGTTATGAGTGATTTGGTAGGATTTCAGTGGTAGAGATATTGACAAAAGTTATTATGTGTTGGTGCTTTTAGGTATGTATTGCTTGCCTGTTTCTTTTGTTTGTACATGAGATTTCTACAACAGATTGTATGATTTGTATTTTTTTCTGTCCATTTAGTAACAAAATTATTTATCAGAAAAAACTCGCCGACGCATTCCGTCGACATGATTTGGACATTGCTGGTTTTTGTTTCTTAATCAGGGATTCATCGCCTTTGGTGTCACTGTGGTTTTTTTGTCTAAGAGCAATCCAATTTGGGTTTTTCTTATGAAATCTCTTGGTAGCTTCCATTTTTACCATAGATAATTGGAGCCAGGTAAGCATTCCTTTGGTCTTTCAAGTTCACTCTAGGGGCATCATGGTGCAAGACAATAGTGGCTATATATAAGGCTAATGGCTTGGTTTAGATTTGAAACATTCCAGCCAACGAGCTTTGTTATCACTTTTAGTAATTAGTTTATTCACATGCTATCAAACTACTTGGCTCTGTCGAAGAATAAGCAGTCATCTATTCGCCAGGTCTCATGTGCTCTGACCCACACTATCAACTATGAATGGAGAATAAGCATTTCGAACGCGAAATTGGAGAAGTAATTGGAATGTTTCTAGGTTTCTCTCGATTCCAGACGGTGGAATAAAGAGGAAGGGAAAGGGAGAGACTGGTGAGATACAAAGCTCAGAGAGAGATTGAAGAACAAACGAAAAAAGAAAGAGGAAGGAAAAGAGAGAGTGAGATTACACATTTAAAAGAGGGGGAAAAGGAGGCACTACGAGATAATTGCTCTTCTACTTTGCTTAGTGAGTATTGTCAGCCCTATTCAGTTGAGTTTTGATTTATTTTAGGGGAAGAAATTATATTTGACAGATTTTTTCCATTTAAATTTAAAATCTTAAATTTAATTATTGTTTGGATGATTTTTTTTCTTAATACAATTATTGTAATTTATGAGATTTAAGGGGGTATTCGATAATGTCAATATTTCAGTGATTTTTGTATTTAAAGTTTTTGAATTGAAAGATCGTATGTACCGGCTGTTCGACCGTAAAACTTCACAGCATAGGCTAAATCGGTAGGTGACATTTAGCAATATGGAACGGTTGAACTACGGTTAAATTATGACTTCAGTGTAAAATACTCTATTACCAACTTTTTTATATGAGTTTACAATCGTTGGTTCAAACAATTCTTTTACGCCGGTGGAAACAAAAAGTTACAAGACACATTTTGAACTATCTATTTCAAAAAAACATGTCAGTTAGCGATAATGCATAATTCAACCCAAAAGACACTTGGCAATTTCTATCTTTTTAAAATAAATGTATGCTACTCATACACTTGCTCATTCATCAACTTAATGTGTAACATATATTTCATAGGTTTTATTTATTTAATTATTTCATGAAAAATTATTTGCTGCGTAAAATTACTACTTTGTTGCTAAACATGTCTGCAATCTAAGAATAATTTGGGAAGTATGTACATAACACATTGTCCAATTAACTATTCGTGACAACTTAGAAGCACGTACAATATACTTTAAATCAATCAACTTCAGATTCATAACCAACGGTGTGGTAAAGAAAATGCTCTCTATTGGGAAAAACTTAAAGAACATACTGAATTCTACGAAAGACTTTTTCTATCATCCTGAAGGTTGATTATGTATGTATTATGAGAAGCAACTCTAATATTCAACTATTTTATTTAATTAAGGAATGAATGACAATTAGTTTTATTTATTTCTTTTTCATTCAACAATTATATGCAATTTATCTTTTCGTAAAGATCTAAACACATTTTGCATACTTAGATTACTTTAAAAATGTTACGTGCATAACTAATATACAAAATACTCATTTCATACATTTCGAATCATCTATTATATTCATTATCAATGCAATCAAAATCGCGCTTTAGAACTTAAAAACTTACGGTTTTACGCTTCTAGGACATCAAAACGCTTTCGTTTCCATATAAAATCTTAAGTGTATAAAATCGGGACTAAAATGCGCTTTAAAGCTTACGCTTTTATGTTTCTGGTTCACTAAAACGCTTTACGCTTTTACGCTTCTAGTTCAATAAAAGAGTATTCTATTCATGAAAATACTTATATTTTAAAGGTAAATCACAAAAAAAGAATATATTTGAGATTAAAAGATACATATCAAGTACTTGGGTGCATTCTTAGTTTCAATAGAGTAATCTAATTCACCAGCTATGCCCTTCCCAAATTCACTAGCATAGAGGGGAATGTAGCTTATTGTTAAGATATATGTTTATGAACTTATTGTTAAAATGTTATGAGTTTCTCAACTTTAGACATGAATTACAAATATTTATTAACTTATCTTAACTATGTCCACTCATATTTTATCGTACTTAACACATTTTTCGTTATATTAAAGTATGCGTAAAAAACTTACATTTTTACGCTCTGATTCTACGCTTTACGATTTTACCCATTTTCCGCTTTTAGGTAGAATCGCGCTTTTGACTGCATTGTTCATTATTATATACCATATTTTTCGACAAAATTTTTTGACAAAATTTTTCCTCTAGTGATTTAATAGGGTTGGAAAACGTAAGACACCTTGAAACCTCGGACTCTTTTTAGGGGGAAACATCCCGCTCTTTTAAGAGAGAAAAATAGCCACACACGTTAATTCAGTTTGACATCAGGTTAATCCATTTTTTAATTTCGTTTAACAAAAAAAAAGGTTACTGAGTGTATATCATAAACACGTCTATTGAATGAGATAATTGATTGTACATCATAACCTCAATTTTTTATGGCATGTTTGAGTTTTGTTTAATTATTTATAATTATGCTTGCGGGGAACCCAAAATCGAAGGTGTAGGCGTGTAGCAGATACCTAATTTAAGATCCAGCACATAACTATGTTGAGTTCTTCTGCTAGGCTTTTAAGGGTATCGTTTAAATGAATCATCTATTATATTCATTATTATTATATATCATATTTCTCGACAAAATTTTTCCTCTAGTGATTTAATAGGATTGGAAAACGTAAGACACCTTGAAACCTCGGACTCTTTTTAGGGGGAAACATCCCTCTCTTTTTAGAGAGAAAAATAGCCACACACGTTAATTCAGTTTGACATCAGGTTAGTCCATTTTTTAATTTCGTTTAACAAAAAGAAAGGGTTACTGATTGTATATCATAATTCATAAACACGTCTATTGAATAAGATAATTGATTGTATATCATAACCTTGCTTTTTTATGGCATGTTTGAGTTTTGTTTAATTATTTATTTATAATTATGCTTGCGGTAACCCAAAATCGAAGGTGTAGGCGTGTAGCAGATACCTAATTTAAGATCCAGTACATAACTATGTTTTTTAATAAATCGTTGCTATGTTATGTTATGATACAAATTAAACTTGTATCATAAGATATAGGTTTAAATTTCATTATAGTACAAATTGAACTTGTATTATAATGTTATATATGTATAAGTTCAATTTGTATAAGAAATTTGCACGAAAATGTAAAGGTATAAACAAAACTTGTACCATAGCGTTAAAGAAACAAGTTCAATTTGTACCATTGAACCATAAAGTTTAAACTACAAGTTTAGTTTGTACCTCATAGTCATGTAATTATTTAGGATCCGTTAATTAACTATTGGTACTCGGTAGTAGACTACCACACTCGGGAGTATCAGTTATGTAACCATATGGGAAGGAGCCTATGTAACCAAAAACACTAAATGCCAACAGATTGACAGCTTTTAGACCTATTGCATGTTTCAATGTGATTTACAAGATCATAGCAAAGGTTTTCGCCAATAGAATTCAGCTTGCTCTACCTGAGGTGATAAGTAGGAATCAATCTGCTTTCATTAAAGGGAGGATTATCCTGGATACTCTTCTAATGGCTCAAGAGATGGTGCAGAATTATAATAAAACTAATATAGCTTCTCGTTGTGCTATTAAGATAGACTTGCACAAGGCTTTCGACTCTGTAAACTGGGACTACTTGTTCTGTGTGATGAGGCTGGTGAGTTTCCAGTAGAGTTCATTGAATGGATAAGAGTATGTCTTAGCTCAACGTATGTCAATATAAGTCTTTATGATTCATTGTTTGGTTTCTTCCAAGCTAAGAAAGGGGTTAGACAGGTTGACCCCCTCTCCCCCGACCTCTTCACCTTAGCTTTGGAACCTCTTTCGGGTATGTTGGACTTTGCTGCAAGTTCAAGGAAAATCCCTTATCATCCTCAATGCATTTCACCTCTGCTTTGCTGACGATCTATTGATCTTCACTGAGTGATCTGCAACTGTATTGATTAAAATAAGGAAGTTGTTAAATTATTTCTATATGCTTTCGGGGCTGAACTGTAATCCGAAGAAGTGTGAAGTGTTTATGGGGGAACAACATATCAATTTAAGGAGAATGCCATTGCTCTTTCTAGGTTTGCTGAAGGAACGTTGCTTGTTCGATACCTTGGCTTACCACTGATTTCAGGGAAGCTGTCTAGTCTGGAGTGTGC